TTCCGCCAGCGCCTCCTCTCCAGTTTTTTTTTCTTTTTTTTTCTCTTCTCGAGACCCCCAAGCTGAATTCGTGTGAGGTGCCAAAATCTTTTGATCCCACCTCGCAGGTGGCCTCCGGGTTCATCGTGCGGTCCTCCGAGGCGGCGTGGGAAGAGAGACCCGCCCGGTAGGAGGCTGGGAGGCGTTTTTTTTGGGTGTAAGGCAAGGGGCACGGATGGACAAGTCCCCACAAAGGCCATCGGCTCCCCATAAAGGCAATAGGTAGGTTGAAGTAGCGGGCTTGAACAATTGGACTGTTTCAGAGCCAGGGGTTGGCAAAACCGCGGCATGCCGGCTATGCGGAGACCAAATTGTCAAATTGGCGCATCAAAGCGAGAGTTAAACCGCTGGTGTTCGTTCTGAAGTAAAGGCAAACAATTAGAGGAGTTGGATTGGGACACAGGTCTCCTTTTTCACATTTCCCATGTCACTTGCCGCTTTTCCTCGTGTGCGTGGGCGGATTCCGTCATGCCATGTTGACGGTTTGTAGGGCGGAACGTGGGTTCGTATGCTCCATCGGGTGCGGCTCGTGTTGTCAAGTCCGCTGAACCTTGTGCTCATGGAAGCGGACCATTCATGGCTCCCTGATCCTCTGGGGTTCATTCCAAGTTTTAAGCTCCCGCGCATGAAGCCTTCCTGAGCTTCCTCTTTTCTGGAATGCGCAGCATGGGAACGTTGAACCTTTACATGCAGCTAAAAGCATGTTCGAATCCAAGACCGTACCAAAGAGTCTAAGACCATCGCCAACAAGCACTGCTGGATTTGAACCAAGGCTGGATTTGGACCAGGGCTGGCACAGGCCTACGTGCCGACAAACCGAACATCCTGTGGCTGTTCCTTGCAGGGAAGACCTTGCATTGGGGTGTGGAATCTCGCAAGCGGCCTTCATGATCATCAGCTTGCAACAAAAAGCTTCAGCCCATCCGGGGAACGGTTTCATCCAAAATCGCCTCGGCCAATCGCCGTTCCATGCGTTCGCATCCGATCTGCTCAGGAGAAGATGGTCACTGACACGGTGGCGGCGAAGCCGGCGATTTGTTATGGTTTGGGCGGAACTTTGGATTGGGGGTTTGGGGACTTGAACCCCTGGTTCTTGTAGAGGTAAATGGGAAACCTCCGCCTAACCTGAAAGCCAATCCAAACCGCCAATCAGGGGGAATGCTTTACAGGGCAACCAATAAGAACGTCACCAGTTTTGGGTTTCCCTATGTTGGCACATACCCAAATGGGCCTGTCGTGAAGTGGGATCTCCAAATAGTTGCGGGAAGCTGTCTGTTTTTTTTTGCACGTCCAACAAGGGGTGCCATCAAAGAAAGGAAAGAGAACTCACAAGGGTGCCATTCAGCTTGAGAACAGTCTTGGGTTCCTTGGAGTTACAAGGGGTGCCACATCTCTCCCCGGACTAAAATATGCCCAGATGGTGCAGCTGCCTACGCATGTCAAGTATCCCTGAAGTGGTTTGGATGGGTGGTTTGGGGATTTGCCCCTGGTTCTTGCAGAGGGCAAATGAGAAACCACCCTTTAACTTTAGCCAACAAACCACGGATTCGACTCTAAGCCACCAAACAACGGGGCAAGCTGATCCCAGCAGATTTGACTTGAGGCGCGCGCGTGTCTCCGCCAGGCCCTCTTCATCTCCGACATTGGGACCTTCATGTTTTAGCCGGCCTGACCTGGTTAGCTGTCAGTTTTCTGTGGCCAATCTGGAGAAGAGGGCGACTGGCCCAGAACCAGACCTCACCGACTGAGATGGCTTGTTTGCACGGTGGAGAGCTGGAGATAGTTTTCTCGTCAGTGCCTTCACCACGAACAGCGTGAAGGACAATTTGAGCAGGACGCGGTTGCAGGGACCGTCCGCTCTTTTTTCTTCTTCTGCTTCTTTCTTCTCATTTTGTTGTGTTGGGCGGGATGGGCCGTGGGAAAAAACGTGAACCCTCCTACACTCTCTTGCCCAGATGACTCCTATCCACAAACACAGATGCTCTTACACAGATCAATCCAAACCCAACGTGAGGATGCCGCCATTGGAGCTTCCCTCCACCAATTGCGCTGGGAGCTCAGGCCGCGCAGAGTCCCCAAAAAAGTCGCGACGCCCTGCTCGCACGGCTGCCCGTCCCAGCACAAAGAAGCCCTGGTTTTGGGCAGCCGCCCACGTCGATGCCGCGGTTTGATGATGACTCATCTTCTTTTTCTTTTTTGAAAGCCCGCGCCCCAGCAGGTTTCAAGTGAGCTCCGGAAAGCGCATGGTTCGAAAGGTTTGGGTGGCACGGGCTTGATTCGTTCTTGGCGCGCGCGTCAAGTGACTGGCTGGTGCCTTTTTTTTTTTTTTACCAGCAAATCCTTGAGTATTGCTGCCATATCCAGGAGGCTTTTCCGTTGAATCTACAAAAGGTCGATCACGACCAATTGCTCGCGGCTTGGAGCGACCAAGCAAGCGCCGGACTGCAGCTTGAAGGCGCATGGCGACATATGATCTGGGGCAGTTGCGCTGATGGAGAGACTGGGTTTGTCTCAAAATCGAGGACCCACCAAAAATGGCTGGCTTCCTCTTGGTGCTCCGTAAGAAACCATGCCAAAAAGGGGCTCCCCCAAAACCGTCGAGTCAATACGGTTGAGTCAAGCTTCTGGAGCAATGCGTTGGTGTTGAAGAAGCTAGGAGGAGACCCTAAAACACCTTGTGTTGGCCCCCCTTTAAACCAACCCAAACCGGGTTCTTTCAAAAAAGAAACCCCCAGATATCTCCTTCCCTTGAAACACGAATGGCTCAGGCCCGCCTGGTGTCCTTTCTCCTTGTGAACTTCCTGCTGCCGGCGGGGCCGGAGGGAAAGGAATCCAACGGTTTGTCGCATTTGTTCTTGTCATTTTGTTTTTTTTTCTACTATTTGTCATGTGGAATCTAGAAATGATCCTGCGCTGCAAACTTCCCCCGAAGCCGCTAGCAAGCTATGCGAAAAGAGGGAAGTTGAAGTAGGCATCGCCGCCCCCGTGCGTGTGACGGGTGAACATCTCTCAACGGCCACATCCATATGGCTGTGGGTCAAAAATAGGCACCCAAAATGGAAGGGACTAAAACTGCGGTCCTCTGGTGCTTCAATTTTGACCCATACCCATATTTGATAGGCTCTGAAGTAGCTTGCCGGTCCCCTGGGACTGTTGGACAGGAGTCTGGTGAGGCCTTGTGGAAACACACAGGCCATGAGTGGCAAAAGATGCTCGCAGTCCGGGGAACGGCGTCCTTCAGTTTGCCTCCCAAATGTTCAGTTTCTTTTAGGTTGGTTTTTGCGCATGTCCAAACACGGGTCCCTGGTGTTTTGACACGCCCCCTATTTTTCTTTGGTTTGGGGTGGATTGCGCAGCCCGCATTGATGGACATTCGGTATTGATGGAGTACGAAAGGAAAAGGAAAGGTTAGAAGCTATCCCGGAAGCAGGATGGGATGAGGTCTAATCCTTTCCATTCCTTTCATCTCTTTACCGCTTTCTATCTCTCGCCTAGACAAGTCTTGTACCGGCGAGGAGAGGTGAAGGGAGGAATGGTAAGAGATAGAATAGAATGTGTCCCAACTCTTGATCAAGGGGGGGTTTGGGTGGTCACATTCATCTTTCCCATCCCCTTCCTCTATCTCTTCGTGCCTACCTAGCCTCACCAAACAAAGATGAAGTGAGGAGGTAGGGTGTGAAGAGAGGAAGAGGAAGGCCATCCATCACTTCACCACCGTTGTAATACTTTATTTGGCTGGTGAGTGATAGGATGGTGTCGTTCCCGCTCGTTCCTCTGTCTCTCGCGGTAATTCCATGGAAAGCAGAAAGGAGTTGGTGTTATAGCGGTTATTCCCGTCCTCCTTTCCCTTCCCTAAGCCACCTCTCTTGAAAGATGGAGCGGTTCATTCACTATCCGTTCAATCACCATGCTGGGGCAAGCGACTTGGATTTTCACTCGCAAGTATATTGTGTACGTCCAAATTATGCCTTCTGAAACATGTATGGTGTGCTGCAGTCTGTGCAACTTCGCCATATTTCGGCACTGACTTGCTACGACATTTTTTTTTTGAATGCGCTTTGTCCCTGAGATCTGATTTTGCGTATGTATGTTGCACTGACGGTTGGCCCTGGGCGCACCAAGTGCAAGGCTTGGAAGGATTGGGGTGCTTCCACAAGAATCCCCAACCAGCAGTCGCTCCTTGAGTTGGAAGCTTGTCAAATGGGCCATCCTGTTTGAGGTGATTGCAAGGAACTCCCAAGAACCAAAGGAAGCTAAGCTTGGTGGCTCCAAGCCATCCGGTTCCTTAGCCTTTTGGCCTTTTAGTGTTTAGTGGTAGTTTCCATTTAACCCACTAAAAGTTAAACTTTTAGCGGGGGAACTGAGGGCAGCCCAGTAAGAGAGAGCCCAATGGATAACCAACCGCCTGGAGGGTCATTCACCCATGGAGGTCATCACCGCGGGGCTCTCTGTGGCGATCGTTTGGTACCTCAGGCCGCGTTTGGGGCGTTTCCCTTGGCGAGGGGCTTTTTGAGGATCTTGTGTAAGGCTTTGGTGTGTGCAGCGACTTTCTTTTGAGTCTTTCGCTGGAACACGAGGGAGTTGCTGGAGAGCTGCTGTTCAAATTGCGGGGGCGGGGATTGGGGTGGTGGGACAAAATGGGCTGTGACAGTACTGCTGTCACTGCAACTGTTGTCCCCCCCCTCCTCCGCCACTGCAAATTTTTCTCCCCCCCCCCTTCCCCCAGTTTCAACAGACGCTGGTTGGTTGGGGTCGCGGGGACAGCTCCATCCGTTGAACTGGTCATCACTCTGCGGAGTCTTCGGCGCGGAGAGTCGGATCTCATGTGATAGGCGCCAGTGCACCGGGGGTGCGGACTTTTTCGGCTCCATGTCCGGCGGGGAACCCTCAGCTCGGCCGGGAAGTGGTGGGTTGAGAGAAGCCAAAAAGGGGCGGGATGCCACGGGGGAAAAGAAAAGATGGTCTGCAGCACAAAGCATTTGGGAAGCGCATTTTCAAAGTGGTGCCAAAGGGTGGGACGGCGAGTTTTCGAGCATGAAGCGAGCCGAGGTCGTGTTTGGCGAAGTCAGAGGGCAACAACCGCTAAAGCATGAGTTTTGACCCTAGAGAACAGCAGGTTGGTTTGTATCAGCATGACTGAAAGCCAGAATGTCCAGTCAGGCTTCAAAGGGCTTTCGTGTCAGCATGATGGTCCAGTTTTTGACTGCACAACTCCCGCAAGCGGGTTCAAAGGCAGTGAGTCTAAATAGTCCTGGGACGTCATAGCTTGTTTTGTAGTTCTTGGCTGGTCTTGGGATGTTTGTGAGTCTCTTGTATGTGTGCACTTTGTTGAGGGCATCCTTTTTCACTTTGGTTTAAAGGGTATCCAACATGAAAGCCATCTTGGGGGTCCCTCCAGTTTGATACATACCCAAAAAGCTCTTAGCCTTTGCAGCATGTCTGGTGTTGGAAGTTGGACGAGAGCCTGCTGATCGCTTAGCATGCGGCTCGGTTTCCATCGGCTGTTTGGCGTGTTGCTAGTGTTGCAACTCTTGGTTGTTTGGTTTTTGGCAGGGCCTTGCTGAGTGTTGGGTATTGGCTGGTTCTGGTTGCTCGGTTGGGGTGAGTTCCTGTTGAAAGGTCTTTGGTCTCTCTTGGAGTATCCTTGGATTGTTGGAGTGCTCAGAGGAGTGTGACGAACGTGTACGAATCACTGATGCACAACATGCACTGGGGAGTTTCTACCACTTTATTTTGCCTGGAACTCCTCGCGGAGTCGCCTTGAGGAAATCTCATGCTGCAGAAATCGGATGATTTTATTTAGTGTTGTTGCGGTTAACACCTGTGTTAAAAGTAACAACCGCAAGCGAAAGGGCTTGGACCTGCACTTGAATTGGAATCTCAAGTGCTGCACCCGTGCATGAGCTGTGTGTATTCACACCGCTTGCCATTCATACGCCCGGCCGGTCTCACCGCCACTCACCCCCGATGCGGCATCGTCCAGTGACACCGCACGGCCCAGCAACTGGCCGCCGGCCACAGCACGCCGACCACACGCTGACACCAACAAGATGCCCACACCCAGGACGCACCAGACGCCTGCCCAGCCACGACCCACGACACCCGACCACCCGACCACGGCACGAACCCCGCGGACCACTCCTGGCTGCTTCCACAGACCATCGAGGCCGACAACCACACCGTCCACATGCTGCAACAGAGCTCTGCGACCCACATCGACGCTCTCGTTCAGCCAGACTCCACCTTCCAGATCTCGTCGGCCCTTCTCCCGGAGTTCACCCACTTCTTGACCCACAACGACTTCCGCTGGCACCTGACCAACTCCGGCACCTTCTCGCGGACACCGACCAACGCCTATATCGTACCGGTGGCGGCAGACACCAATCAAACCCCACTTCGCGCCTTGCTTCGCTGGATTCTGATGCAGCACATCCAGCAACAACTGCACCACCTCAACCAGACCAACAGGCAGAACCTGCTCCCCCAACTCACCTGCTCCTGGCTGACCTTCGGCCGGCAGCTGTCCAAAACGACCCGTTCATCGAGTCCATGTCACGCACGTTCGGGGAGACGACCGTCGAGACCATCTCCAACTTTCTGACCGCTGAGCAGCGGACCATGGCCCTCATCGATGGCATCATCCTGGGCCCCGACGGGCACCTGCGTTTATTGAGCCGACTTGGCCAGTTCCTTTTGCACCACCCCCCTTACTGGTACGAACCCGCCAATCCACGTCTCGTGTGACGGCGATCTCCTGTGAGGCGAGTGCCCACCATGTCTCTACCAGAGGACGGCCAGTGGCCCAACCATCGAGGGAGAGGTCCACACCTTCAGAATGCGCAGAGCCTCTTTCGGGTCGCCCCCTTTCGGACCCCTCTCAGACGTTCCTCCTTTTTCCGTTTGCTTCGGGTGGCGACCCCTTGTCAAACCGGGGAATGTCGAGGCTCAAGGAGCGGTGCGTGTATGACCCCACTAACCCACCAACCACCGACAGGTCGAATTTTGCCCCCCTTTCGCGATCCCTGTTTGGGACACCCTCTGTTTATTCGGGCCTGGATCCCCTCGCGACAAAGCCGTCTGAGGCAACAACACTGCTCGTGAGTTGGTCCTGTGAGACAGCTCACCACCCCTTGGGATGACATTTGTGCCGGTGTGGCGTGTCATCTAACACAACGTTTGTGCCGGTGTGGCGCGTCGTACCCCCCGTTCGAGAGCAGTCCACCTAGAGTGGCTCACCCATGAGAATCCCCCCCTGACCCACCAACACGTTATTCCCCAACCCGGCGCACTACCGACTGCTGCGTGAGTTCGGCAAGAGCCACCTCCAATTCCGAAGGATTTTCAGCCGCGCCCAACTCGTCCCTGACCACCGTCGTTTTTGCACCAGGGCCATCCCGGAGGCAGACAAACTTTGCCGAGTCCTGCTCCAGTCCTACAACACTGGCATCATCTCACAGTTCAAGACCTTCCAAAACCAGAACCCTCGTCTTGGACACACGGAAACCATCAACGCCTTCATGGAGGGGGAGCACTCCGACCAGCAGTCACGCGTCAAGTACCTCCTGCTCGTTGCGGTTAACACCTGTGTTAAAAGTAACAACCGCAAGCGAAAAGGCTTGGACCCGCACTTGAATTGGAATCTCAGGTGCTGCACCCGTGCAACAGGTACGGTCCCACCCACCTGAGGCAGTGTGGTGAAAACAGTCAGACCGACGCTGGTTGCTGTTGATTTCTCTGGAGCGTGTCGTTGTTTCCCAAAGACCCAGCCTCCAAGAGTCCCCAGGTCTGTTTACGCGTCGCCCTCAGGGCGTACCCCAGATGACTCCAAAGTATGCAAACATGTATGGCCAGTTGTGGCTGGTATGCAGTAAAACGGGTTGGGTTTTCCCTCAAATCGGATTCTGTCCAGATTTGATCCCCCAAGAACTTGTAGCTTTCGAATGAAACAATTTTGATTCTCCAGATTTGATCCCCAAGATCTACCCATTTTGAACCTTTGGCTTGCCAGAACCTTTGATTTCAAAATGGTTTTGCAGGTTCCCCAATACGCCTGGATCTGTCCAACTTCGGCCTGACGTCCGCGCCCAGGCAGTGGCTGGAGCGCGAGCGATGTATTGGCCATGTTCACCTCCTGAGGCGCACCTGGAGGGTTTCGAGCCGAGCGCTGAAAAATGGTTGGGTTTTCCGGCAGGGAGTTTTTTAAAGCTTCGCTCTAATTGGTTGTTTGTGGTTAAGGAGGGTTTTCCCATATACTAGTTTTCGGCTTCCCTCGAATTGCTTGGTTGTTTGGAGTGATGGTTTGGTGGTTTGGTGGTTCAGGAGGGGTTTTCCCGAAAAACCTCTACAAGAACCAGGGGTTCAAATCCAAAGCCAAGCCACCAATCCAAAGCAACTAAGGGTTAGTCGAGGCCATTCTGTTTGAAGGTTACTTGGTTGCTGGTTCTAAAGGTTACCCTCCCACCAAACACCTGACAGGGACCCTTTAAGTGGACAATGGTCCCAACCAGGAATTTTGTGAACGTCAGGTTCCATGTCAATTGGTGGGAGGCTACTCGGTTGCTGGTTCCCATAACTTGGCAAGCCCCAACATGAAGGGAGCCCTTTCGAAGAATGTAATATTTGGGCAAGTGCGAAAGATTTGACACACGGCCCTGAGGCGGGGTGATGTAATTCGCACATTCTAGGCCTGCATTGAAGAAATGTCTTTCGAGCAAGAAAACTCGTACTCCTCTACATGGCCGGCTTCCCTTTCGGTGTTCACTGTAAAGTCTTGCCACATCTCTATTCACGAACTTGCATGCCTCAGGCAGAATAGCAGACCTTGGAGGCCCCAAAAAAGGCACCTGTTCTGTTAGGCAATTTGAGCTGATCTCCAAGTCCACATGCAACAAGGAGAGTTGTTTTCTGCCTCTTGGACTGGACTTCCCCCGAAGACCCCCCCCTGTAAGAAGCCAGCGGCCTGCTCCGTTTTCTTTTCTTCTTCTTCTTCTTTCTCCAGAGGCAAGGCAGAGGTGTTTTCGTGCACGTCCAGGTTCAAGGCACAGGCGGCCGCTGAGTTCCAGCCCGCTCCGAACACATCAGGGCTGGCGCGACCATTGCCCGCCATGGCGGCAAGCATTGCCAGTGGGAATCAAGAAAGCCCACCTTGGCCCATTGGAAAAAACGAAAAGTTGGGTCCCGGTCCCAAAGCGGGCGTCGCATGCGCGCGTCTTACCAACCTCACCCGAAGGTTGGGATTGAGCTCGCGGCATGGAAAAGCGAGCGCACGTCCAGGGATCGAAGAGTGCAGTCGCTGTCACTTTTCGTGAGGCTATGCGCAAGGCTATGCTCGCGTGGCTTAGACGCAAGTGCCCTGCTGGTGAAAACAGAGAAAGAGAGAAAGAGAAAAGGAAGAGAAAGAGGAAGAAAGAAGGGAAAGAGGAAGAAGAAGAGAACGTTAAAGAGCAAGAGGAATAGTAGAAAGAGACCGGGAACAAGAAGGTGAAGACCCGCGATGGCCCGGTGATGGGCTTGGCGCGCCATGGGCTGCAACTCCTCGAGTGCGGCGCCTGAGGCGAATGTTCAGAAGCAGCGCCGAAGGAGAGGGCTGAGATGAGGGGGGGATGGTTTGGGCGTCCAGGAATCGGATTCCCAGCCTGGCGATGGATCAAGCGCATTCCGATTTTTTTTTTTTTTTTTTTGTGTTGTTTCCTCCCCTCCATTTTTTTTTGCATTTTTTTGTTTGTGTGTTTTTTTTAGGGGTGGGTGGGTCGGGAAATTCTTCAAACCACCGTTTAGAGTTCACTTCAGTGAACCCAGTTGAACATGTGGGGGAATAAAAGCTGCGAGTGGGGATTTGGCTGGGGTTGTCCCGGAAGGCTTCGTGTGGGAATGCATGACAATTCCTCAAAATAGGGACAAGTCAAGGCAGAGATGGTGGCGTGGAGCTGTATTTTGACACTTACTCATTTGGGCAAGTGCGTGGTTTTCCTTCCGTTTCCCTGCAAATACCGACCAAAAGGAGGTCCACCGTTGAAAAACATCTCCCAATATGGGTCCTTTTGGTTTCCCTTTAACACCAACCCCAAAGGGATCGCCTCAAACAAATCCCGGCCATCCATTCGCCGGGCCAGGCTGTCAGTGGGCAATGTGGAGGTGGCGGCCGTCGAGGCAGAGGACCACAGCTCGGAGGATGACCGCGGGCTCATCGCCCAATTCAGCCAGCAGAACCTTGTGGACATGGTGAGCAAAGAAGGCGTGATGGGAACCTCGGTGCTGGTGCTCAGTAGAGAATGAGAAATTCCACTGTGCTGGTGCTCAGTAGGGAATGAGAAATGGAACGACCCCAACAAAGCGCAGTGAGTGGGTCCATTCCTTCATGCTCTTCAAGGATGTTTTGTGCCCTGCCCATTCTTTGCGATTGTGTCTTTTTGAGGGTACCATCTTTGGGGTTGGTTCAACGGGAAAAAGGGAAACCCAGTCCGTATCCAAGTGGGTTCTTTCGCCTCGGGGTCCCAAATTTTGATGCAGGGTGTAAAGATCAGGGTCCATAGTTGTCGACGTCCCCAGACCGAACTCCTTGCAAGGCTTGGGGCGTCTTCGGGTCTCATCGCGGGCCCCCAAGATCGGAGCCCCCAAGTCTCGCGGCGGAAAAAAACGCGGGCATGGCGTGGCAGAAGGGTTCCGGCTGGATGTTCGGCATGGCCGAGGTTTGGCATGATCGAGCATGCTTTTTGACCCAGCCCTAAACCACCCTAAACCAGCCCTAAACCAACCCTAAACCAGCCTTAAGCCCAACCAACACCAACTCTAAACCCACCGTCAACCAGGGCTAAAGCCACGTCCCTAAGCCCACCCTAATCCAGTGCTAAACCACCCTGAGCCGAACCAACCAAAAACCCACCCAAGGGGCGTTCTGAAAAGAGACCCTGTGTTTTTGCACTCCTGGGGACATGTTGTGCAGGATCCTCAGTCCCCCCCCCCAGCTCTTGAAACGGGGTTTTCTGCCAGGAGCAGGCGGTCGCCGCCTCTCATCATTGGGCTCCACGACGGACCAGAACCCGACTTCCTTCGCCAACAAGACCACGCCACTTTGCCAAACCCGGCGTTTGTTGCTGCTTGTCCTCTTCTCCTCTGTCTCGCTCTCTCTTTCAAGTGCGGCGGGCTGCGAGACCCAGCACTTCTCTGCTCATTTGTCTTTCTGCGGAGGGGAGGTCCGGTCAAAGCCTGGAAGTAGCATTGGCTCGGGCTGCGGCTTCCATTTGCCTTTTCGTCATTTCTTTTGCTGCAGGGGATGCAGCCATCCGAGCACTTGAGTAATGCATCTAGGAAGTTCACTCCGGGCCTTGGAGTAGAAGAAACGCGCGAGCTCCTGAAACCTATTTGCTGGTTGTCCCTTTTGAGATGAGATGGTCTAGTCATGGAAGAGCTGTCTTCAGAAAATGCTCTGGCGTGCGGCTCCCCCGCCCTTTTTTGCAAGGAGGGCGCGAGTTGATAATTTGTCAACTTCTTCTATTCGTCAGACTTGTTGCCCATTCCGAAGCAAACCAAACAAAACAGCTTGTCGCAATTTTGCTCGAGGTGAAAGAAAGCGCACAGCATGCAAGGGGTCGTTTGTGTGCGTCCTGTTTCGAAGGGGCGCCATCTTCGGTTTTTCTTCCCGCGTGTTTTTTTTTTCTTCCTCCAACGCCCACAGCGTTGGCAAGTGCCATGGTCCAAACACACAAAGTTGCTTGGGGTGCGCGCGGGCTCGGTGATCCGCCTGGTGAGGATGCTGCAAGTAGCCATGATGATCCTTAAGTGCACTGAGGCAAATCACCAGTATGATCTTTGAAGGGAACCATGAAACAAATAAGAGGATCAAGGTTTTGAACATTGGTGATTTTCCTAAGGGAACCATGACCCACTCGGCCAAACAAAACGCGAGGTCTTGACCATGACCTCTTGGGGCCCATCGATTGGGCTGAACGGGTTGAGCCCGAGCCCAGGCAGCTGCTGGGAGACCAGCTGCAGCAGCAGGGGTTGGGCTACACCTGCCGCAAGGGCCTGAAACCGGAGAGTCCCAACCAAGACTCCTGGCGCCTGGGCCGTCTGCTCGGGGATCGGGGGGCGTCTGATCGAAAAATCGGGGGTACGGGGCGCCCAGGGGGCGGATGTTTCGGGTGGGGTGGTTCGGGTGGGGGGGGGTTTGGAGAAGTGAGGGCAATGGGGGGCCCTGGTAGCCCGGAGCCACCTGATTCATTCCAGAGGCTTGCCATGGGTAAAAAATGGAGAAGGGGCTAATGGAGTTGGAGTTAGTGGAGGGATGGATAGAGGCTGGGAACCAAGGGCCCGCCTCTATTTTGGGTACGAGTTTGAGAGGGGGTTGCTGCTTCATGTTGCCAAGTTTTCTCTAAGGGATGTGCTTCTCCTGTTCGAGGGTTGGTTTGGGTTGGTACTGTGGGAGATCCATCCCTACCGCAGTGCGGGGGAGGACTTCAAGCAAACCCTTTTTTCCAAGTCAGTATTTTGCCGACCAGGATTGCAACAAGGAGGAAACTTTAGTATACAAACATGGTCGTGGAACCCGTGATGGCCTTTGCTGGCGTACAACTGTCGGCAGGCAAGGACAATGCTTAATCACAGTGCTGCTGGAATCCATGCACATTGGATAACTGGCACCCGACGACAAGAGGGGTTGATATCGGGACGGCATGGCAATCTGCCGCTGGTTTCCGGAGCTGCCAGTCAAGCTGGATGTCATCTTTTTACTTCCCTTTTGCGTCTCTTCGTCAGGACCTTGTTGGGAACTTGTCGGGAACTGGTGTGTTCCCCCCAACTCGGTAAGTGTTTCCGGTCTCGGCTCTTGCCGGCGTGGGACGGACTCGTCCAGGATGTTGGTGTGGGTGGCAAGCCCCGCACCCCGGTCGCCCGAGGTGCCTTTTGAAGACAGAGGCGGGGGCTTCCGGGGCTGGGGCTTCGGGGCTTCCGGGGCTGGGCTGGGGCTCGTGGCATGTAGCCATTGAAAAGGCCCCGGAGGGTTTTGCGGTTCTGGTGCATGGGGTCTCATAGGCATGGGTTGTACCCATGGATCTGGTGGTGTTACCACCTTCCATGTCCGAGTTTTTGTGGCTGTGGCTGGTGGAGTTGCTCAGGATTTTTCGATCTATGGCGTGTTCGATGGTCATGGACAAAAAGGACATGACGTGTCTAACTTCGTCAAAGACGTTCTACCGAAGCTGATCGTCCGTGATTCTCGGACTGCCACTGGCGAGTGGGGGCCAATCCTGTGCGACAGCTTCAAGAAGACGCAAAGCATGGTCAGCACCTCCGACAGGATCAAGCAGTTGAGTGCTCAGATGTCAGGGACAACCGCAACGGTGGCCGTGCACGATCATCGCTTCTTGGCTGCCCGCGGCTCTTTAAGACATTTACACCGGTTTTGCAAGTCAGTTGGCCTCATTCGGACGTTGCGACATGCAGCTCTCGCCTCAAGATGTTCGTTGCCGGCGACCCGAGGAAACAACAAGATCACCCTCGCCCATGTTGCAGACAGCACTGCGGTGCTGGGAACCAGGCAGCTTGGCTTTCTGCCGACCGGTTTCGTGGGGTTTTGCCCCGAACTGGGGGATGAGAGAAAGCACAGCTGGTCGCACACATTTCAGGAATCGGGTCAGATGGCATCAATAGGCGGCTTGTCGCTGAGCGTTCATCAGTCCTTGTGTCACTGCTCTATAGCTCATAGTTCGAAATTTAGGTTCGCCGACTCCTTGTGTCACAGTCCTTGTATCACTGGTTGTCGAGAAAGAGTCGGCGAACCCAAATTTTGTGTCCGCAGGCCAAACGCCAGGAGCCTGCAACACCTTTTTTGTCGGAAGCAATGCACCTCCAGATTTCAATCCGGGGGACTCCATCCTAAGCCACGAATCTTTTGCCAGGCACGGCAACGAGTGGCGGGGTGTGGCGCTGACCAGGGACCACAAGCCCAACCTCAAGGCGGCGGTGGGTTAATCCTTGAAGGATTTGGTTCCCTTTGTTGTGGTTTTCCAGCAGACATGAATTATGGACGGCGACAAAGGGGTTCCTCTCAGTGGTTTTCAGCGGGGATGATCGGACTGGTCACTCTGTTTCGAAAAAAGAAGGACGAGAAGGCCCGCATCGAGAAGGCGGGTGGGCGCGTGGTCTTCGACGGCTACGCCAACCATCGAGTCTACGCCCACAACGCGAGGTATCCAGGCGGGAGGGTGCCTGAGCGGTGCTGGGGGCTTTTGGGGGTTTCTGGCGGTTGTGGCCCACAAATATGTTGCAGGAACCTGGCACCGACCGTTGAGGAAACTTCTAAACCATTGGGAAGGCGGACCCAGTGACCCCGTCCTATGCCAGTTCTCCCTTTTGCGCACAGGTGTCTAAGGCACAAAGCTTTGGCGGATGAAGCAGCAGCTCCCGCAGGGTGGTGCGAACCTGTGGCAAAATACAATCAGGATAAAATTCGGAAATCGGATGCTAACATGTCCAAATGGTCATTGATCCACGGACTCATCAGCCCAACAAACCAGCTCACGGTTCTTTTTTTTTTAAAGCCGGTTGCTCGCCGTGGCAACAAAAAGCAAAAGCGTCAAAGTGGTATGGTACAGTGGGCCACTCCTGGTATCGCCCAGTTGGCTGATTTTTCCCAGCCCAAGCGCCCAAGCGCCCCAACGCCCGATCCGTTTTTGCGTCAGGTCTGAACATGTCCCGGTGCTTGGGCGACCTGCTGGGGCACCAGGCGTTGGGTGGGGCGCTGGAAAATGGGGGGAGGTTCAGAGGTTCAGAGGTCTGGTGGATATGGCTGTGGTGGTCAACATGCATGGGATCCCATTTTGGTTGGTAGGTGAATTCACCACCCACTTTAGTCTACTTTAGTGGGGATTGGGATGTTCACTGGGGGTACGAGGAACAAGCAGGCACAAGTCGAGCAACAAGCAGCCGAAAGCCCCAAGAGCATCGAAGAAAAGGTGGGAACCTCAATCCCACGCCCCCCCAAAGCTTCCGCCCGAAAAAAGAGAAAGCCGCTCGCTGACGCCCAAGAAGCGAGCAGGACTGCGGCATCTCCTGCGAGCCGGAGGTGTCCACAGTGGACACCAGCGGCAAGGAGCGGTCGAGTCGGCGGTCAGTGGGATGAAGTTTGACCGGATGAATCGTTGGGGTTGTTCCATTCACGTATGTGACATTTGTCCCATTATGTGACACAATGTGGGTAACTAATGTGATGGGTAAGCTTCAGGGTTGTCCTTTTGGAGGAGGGGTTGCCGCCAAAAGTTTGATGCGCGCGGCGCCCCTGTTGGTCGGTCGGCTCCACCTTGTCCATGGCGCTTCAGGCGATGTTGGGAACCTGGACCAAGGCGAAAAACCACATTTGTTGTTGCCATTTGCGCCCAAACAAAACCATCACCCAACTAGGTCTAATTTTGGGCCAATGGTGGGGGAAACCTGGGCACCAAGAGGCAGCCGACCATGACAGTCTCCCTTGAACAACATCATCCCCAAAATGGCATCTCTTTGCACTGGCTGTTTTTGTTTTGAGGTTTGCTAGCGAAACCTACCCGAAAAGGAGCGGTACCAAGTCTTTTTTAAGCTCACCAGACTTTCTTGACACAAAGATCCCAACAATTTTGCAACCCGATTTGTTTTGCCTGCGATGAGGATGGCGAAAGTGTCAATGCGTTGCGTGTTTTCGTTGCCTTCCATTTGCATCTCGTTTCTCTTTGCAGATGATTGTTGAAGCACATTGGGGATCTTCTTGCAACACTTGATGTGTCCAGCATGTTGCGAAACATGTTGTTTCCTCTTGATAGTGGCGCAACACGGGTTGTTCTGTTGTGACACCCTTTTCAATTGAACTTGTCTCACACCTTCAAACGGATTCAGATCATTTTTTCTCAAAGCCTTCCACACGCGGCCGAGCTCGTTTCAACCGGCCGGGGGCATTCTTGGACAGATTTGAACCGGGCAGCGCTTCGCTGCTGCCTCGCAAGTGGGGTTCTTTTCCACCTGAAATTGCCGTTTTCCGGGTTTTCCGGGTACCTCCCAAGAATGCAACCCCCAAATTCGGGGGCAGGTTACCCGGTGAGCCCCAAAACGAGGCACGCGAGGGAGTCTCTTCCAGGAGCAGATCCTCTTCCTCTGCAGCGACGGGGTTTGGGAGTTCATCTCGCCTCAGGAGGCCGTGGGTCTGGTGAACCACTACTCCGCGGCGGAGGCCCAGAAGGCGGCGGACTTCCTGGCCAAGGATGGCTTGGAATTGGGGGCCTGGCCAAGGATGGCTTGGAATTGGGTGGGGCCTGGCCAAGGATGGCTTTGCTTTGGGTGTGGGGGGGGGGTCTGGTGAGTGGACCATTCGGACGGCCATTTGGGTTTGGATGCTTTTACAGCCCAGGAGACGTGCAGGATTCATGTGAACCAACCACTTTTCACGGGGGTGCCCATATTGCAATTCACAGCCATTTGGATCGAGTGGTTCGATTTTCTGCGCAAGGCAAGAAGAAGAACCTGGCAATAAGTAAGACATTTGGGTCTTGAGATGGGTCTTTCTAGGTCTACAGACTGTGGACATCCGCACCAACTTTGTTTGTGTTTGTTCACCTGCAGTGCAGAATCTCCCTCGCCAAGCTGCTGTTGATGTCAGTCTGCCCTGCACTGGGCCCCTCCAAGCCACAGTTATTTTGGGTGTGACTACTTTTTGAGGGTGCTCTCTTTGTTGTTTGAAAAGGAAACTAAAGGACAACGCATCATTGTTTGTTTGATTGTTTTCTTTCTTTGAGACACACCATTTCTTTTCTACTAAACATCTTTCTCAGGCAGGTTTGGATGTCAAACCAACGGCCCCTCTCGTGTTTTTCGACCCTGAGGAGGCTTGGGATCGTTGGATCCGGGAGGAGGGCGGAGCGGTGGTGGACGACATCACGGTGATTTTGGTGTATCTCAAGAGCTGATGGGATACCGACAGGAGCGAGCATTGTGTGTCCGAAGGTGAGGGAACCACGCCAAATCTGGGGTAACAATGCTGAAAAAGCATGGATGGGGTATGTTTTGTAGATGCCGTTGTTTGTTTTTTGTTGGGAATTCCCAACATAAATCCGCACAGGAGCGGTCTGTGTGTCCGAGGTGTGCCGGGTCGTTGGCGCTTCTTTTGAGCTGTATGTGTGGTATGTTTGTACTTTTTTTGTTTGGGGGGTGGGCAAGGGACGCCTTTTGCAAAGGGCTTTGGGCTGGTGGAGCTTTGCGCCATCCCAAAGCTGTTCAAGCAGCGGCGCGGCTCGGATCTTTGAGCTGAGGCGGAACCTTTGTTTGAGAAGTAGGAGGCCCCCAGGATGGTTGGATCCTTTTCTTGCTGCTGCTCAGCAGGGAAGAGAAATGGAATGACCCTATAAACCATGCAACTGGTGGTTTCGTTGAAAGGGGGCCCTGAATCCTACTGAGCATCAGCAAGTTTTGGTGCCAGTTCCTTTAAAGCCCGCCCAGAAGG